TAGTGCCCCTTTAGCATGTCTCTAGTGTTGCTTTCTGATTTATTTATTTATGTTTTACCCCCCTTAACAATTTTCTAATTGGTTACACATCTAATGACAAAAAGCTTCTAGTGAGGTATAAGTGACGATTGAGAGGAAGTACTTCTTTATGTGTCTATACATTAATTTCAGTTCTTGAATATTATACCTTTTAACCCACAAATAAGTCGGTAATTGTCAACAAAGGAGATGGAAAGACCTCTTTAACCGTAGACAAACTTACATGAGATCACGCCACTGATGATGCTTGCGAGTTCTTGGGCCGTGCATGTTTTATAACAGACAAACATGTGTATGTGTGAGTGCCAAGACAAAAATATGGAGCTGTAAATCAGCACAACAGGTCTCCTATAAATGAACTGTGTGACAGCGGCATGTTTCCACCTAATCTCGTCACCACGTGGCTTTCTTGAAGAGCTGCACACATCTCTTACGTGACTGTAACGTGTGACGTGATTAACTGTGTATATGGATGGCTCTCATGGCCAAAAGGTTGTATGACAGTCTTTGGAGTAAAACGAAGGCTTGATCAGATGATTAGCCGGGCATTAGGTCACAAAGCCCGTCACTAATCCATTAAAATGAATTGACCTGTAGCCCCTGAAGGTTTTAATATTGATTATAGCAGTGACCGTAGTTCTCTCAGGATCCCTTTAGCCAAAATAGGATTGTTATTCCATCTCCGCTAATTTATACATGGAAGGCCTGAGGCCTTTTAGGTCCCCCCTAACAGAACCTAGAAGCCACCTGTGAGATTGATTAGGACAGAAATGGCAGGGAATGGGTTGCAAAGTAGCTTGTAGGGCAGGCAGCAACTGTTTCAGGTATCATAACATGCAAGATTTCCCAGTTGGTTGTGAAGATGGTTATCAGCTTAGCCGTCAGCGTACGTGGGCAGGGATTGAGATCGACTGAGCTAGCTTGATGTTTTGTTCTGCCAAAACCAATGCTCCGGTGAGTTTCGGTGGAGTTTGTCCTCTTTGCCACCCTCTGTGCGTAACACTTGACCATTTAGAAAACCGAAATATTGTAGAAAAGTGGGAAGAATGGGGAAAGTGTGAGCTCGGTGTAGATCACATCCCAGACCATGAGACCATCCAAGATACAAGATCATCAGATCGTCCACGCCTAGTGTGTCTGCTGTCCGAGTAACATTTGCCGCCTCGCGGATTTAATACATTTTCTGATCATCTATTAAAAATCTACATATGCGACTCTTTGTGTGGATTTCACAATACTTCCTCATTCAACAGGAACAGGATCATTGGTGATTTTGAAGGAATGAGTTGAGGTCAAGGTGGTTATCATACCCATATGGCTCCTGGTATTTAATATGAAAATCCAGCATGATTCCCATTTCAGTGCCTCCTATAATGTTATTACCTCCCCTAGGAGGAGAGATTTCTCTCAGTGCCAATTAACTTGAGTGAAGCAGCCAATTAGTGATTCTCCAGCTATGGCAGTGGCTCTAATTCCATTTCTTTCAGCTGTTTCATGAGTTT